CCAGCTAGAATAACTATCGGTTAAAATGTTATCATAGGTGGGAAATTTCTTAATGCCCTCAGTTCAAAGGGATCACCCTGTATAATATATACTTTCAATACAATGCTGTGTAAGATATACTTCATTTATTTATTATGCTTCCTGTCAGTTTGTCTCTATATAACCCATACCCTACTATTCTCGCATAGTGTTCTCAGGATTTATATAGCATAAGCATACCATGCCGAAATAGTGCACGGACTTATTTACTAAATAAAATTCTTCAACGCTCACTCCGAGACTCGAACTCATGACCGCGAGGTTGTCAGTCCGATGCCTTATCGATTATGCCACAGATACGATCACCAAGTGAGAGATTTTTATTAAATATATAAACTTAATTTATACAATAGACACATTAAGGAGAAAATAGACAAATATTATTTGAAAACAGTTATATTATTCTTAGGAACCTTAGATAAATTTGTACAACAAAGTTTCAAACTAATTACATACAGATCGTTAGATGAACTGATGTCATGGAGTCATAAAAACGCTTTTTTATATAACGCTTGATTAAAGGATGTGAAAGAAAAATATCAATAAGAATTGACGTCTGCAAACAAGTCAGTCGTACTAACAAAACAGAAAATAAAGATGAGTTGCTTCGGGACGGAAAATAATTATTTATTTAGAGAAAACAACCTTCTCTTTCAATAAAATATCCTATTAATTGAGTAAAATTCTGCAATACTGAATTACCATGGCAGTTCCCTGAACAATCTTGCCCATGGCACTGGTATCTGACTCTGAGGAGCACTGAAATGTTCCAATGTAATGTCCCAGTACATTGGCCAGACCCTTGACCGTTTCTGTCTTGCCGACCCCCACGGGCCCTGACACACAGCTTCCCTGGTAGTTGTTCAGGGCCTGGGACATGGTCAGAAAGCATCGCTCCGTGACAGGGGTCAAGGCCACTCCTGCGTTTGTTCCATAGAATTCGTTGCCGTAGAAATAAGGTGTGTCTAATATCCAGATCAGGGGTTCGTGCTTATCCTCTGCAAAGAAAACAGGTAAGAAAATGAATTCATTTTTCATTGTAATATTTCTTTGTTTAATTTTTTTTTCTTGTTAGCACCATTTGATAGTACACATATGATTCATATTGTTGCATTAAAAGTTAAAAAGCATGAAATATTAATTTAAAATTAATAAGCTTTCATTTTGACAAATATCACAAAATGTGTATTGCTAATCATGCAGTTACAATTATTTTCAAACAATCCAATCAGATTTTATACTGTTACTCTATGAGTATTAATTGTATTAATACTGTATCAGCACTTTTGTTGTTAAGATTTTTAATTCTGTGGTAAACACACAACAAGAGACCCATGGGCCACATCGCTCACCTGAGCACTAAGGCTAAGAAAAAGTAGAAAACGGTATTTATTGTAAAGTTTAAATCCAAAAGAAGTCCCATGAACAATCATGGATTTTTTAAAAATGATTTTTAAAGAATTTTCATTAATATTTCTATGTAAAACTTTGGTCGGCCATTTTGGTCCCGCCCTACCCCTGGGTGTCATGATTTGAACGTATATGAATCTACACTACCTGAGCCTGCTTCCATATAAATATGATGAATTATGGCTTTGTCATTCCTGAGAATATTTGAAAAGAATTTTACTTCATATTTCTATGTAAAACTTTGGTCTGCCATTTTGGCCCCACCCTACCCCTAGGGATCATGATTTGAACTAATTTGAATCTACACTACCTGAGCGTGCTTCCATATACATATGATGAATTATGCCTTTGTCAATCCTGAGAAGAAGATTTTTAAAGAATTTTCTTATATATATTTCTATGTAAACTTTTGTCTGCCATTTTGACCCCGCCCTATCCCAGGGGGTCATGATTGGAACAAAATTGAATCTACACTACCTGAGGATGTTTCACCATAAGTTTTATCTTTCCTGGCACAGTGGTTCTTGAGAAGATTTTTAAAATATGTCACCAAATTTTCAGTTATTATCCAATTATCTATATTTCAATTCAAACTTGTTTCCCCTTCACCCAAGGATGCTTTTTCGCAACATTTGGTTGAAATTGGCACAGTGGTTCAATCTGTTGTTAAAAGTTCAAAAGCATGAAATATGTAATTTAAAATTAATAAGCTTTAAAAATTATGCAGAATATATATTAAAATGTATATGTAATTGTTAATCATGCAGAAAAAATTATTTTAAACCAATCCAATCAGATTTTATACTGTTACTCTATATGAAATTATGTATTTATATGTATTAATATTGGTTGTATTTCGTTGTTTCACTTTTTTTTTTTGTTAAGATTTTTAATTCTGTGGTAAACACACAAAAAGACTAATTAAAAGTTAAAAATTATGTCAGATTTAAAGTATATTAAAGATTATATATGTAATACGTTAAATGGCAAAGCAAAACAGAATAAAATTATAGCTTTAAACCACCACTCAAAAAGATAAAAATATTAAAAAGAAACTTCAAAAACACACAGCTAATTAAAGATATAAATAAAATGAACATAAACTGAATTCGACAAAGTCAAAATATGTAAGTACACATGTAATGGAATTCAAATGAGGAACAAATATTACATTAGTGTTTATGCGTAATATGAATAACAGGTGAAAAGGGGCAGCATAACAATTCTTTGTCACAAAGTGTCATTTATTTCTTTAAAAAAATTAATGTAAACAATTAATCTAATTAGCCACCAAACTTTCTGGCAAAAATGAACAAAAGTATTTTTTACCACTCAAACTCAATCGTGTGTTTTGTTTTCCTGAAGAAGCTGCAGATTGAATTATAAAAAAAATAAATCCTCCCCCGCACAATTTATTCCTATAAACTCAAAACTTTAATTTTCACACTTCAAAAATGCTAGAAACTGACCCCAAAGCATGAAAAGCTTGACCTCAAGTATTCTTAGAAAAAAGCTTTTTTGGAATGAATTAAGGCATATGAATTGAGGACCATGTAGAATATTGAAGAAAATGACTGGGAATTTATCAATCTGTAAATTACTTGTCAGAGTTCAAAATTGGTACCAAGTACAATTTTATGTTAGATTCTGTACGTTTCGAAATGGAAGAGAAACAACAAAAGCTGATTATACATTTTTATAAAACTAGTGGAAATTATAGCATTTCGTATTCCAAGGATATCAAATAAATATTACAAAAAAGAACAAAGAAAATGTTTAAGAAAAAAAAGTAATAAAAATGCACTTTAATAACTGAGGATACTTTGAAAAGGTGAAATAAAAAAGCTAAGAAATAATTATGATTAAAATTGCCCAGCACCATTCCTTTTTTCACCGTAATAATCCTGCTTACGTATTGAGAGGTCACTCAAACTCGCTTCCGTTTTAATATCTACCGACTCGTTATCTACAGTCTCATCGTTAGCTAATTAAATCAAAGATTAAAAAATCAGATTCATTTTTCAGTAATTGTCATAATTTTTTTACAGACACGTTAATTTCATAATAAGGAAATTTATTTACATTATATTCTACAATTTTTTCTTAAATTTTAATTACTTCATCTATAAATGATATTTTGTAAGAAATATGAGATCTTGTTTTCAACTACTCATACAAAATTCATTAAAATACAACCTGATGATGTACAATTGTCAGCTTAATAGCAGCTACATGTACAAATTGTGTCAAAGTTTTCTTCTTCACACAATTCTGTTTTCCCCTTTTATATTGACATAATTATCTAAGATATTTTATAGTCTAAAGACTATTGATTCTTTAACCTCAAAAGTCAAAATTCTTCATTAAAAGTTATATACTATAAAATGATAATTCTTTTTTTTTTTTTTTTTACAGAGAGTAAAGATGAATCCAGTAACTTAATTTCAAAATTGATTTCACATTATATAACAATTAAATGTTCAAATCCTTACCAACAGGGTGAAAGTAACATCTAATGCACCTCCTCCACTCAAAATCTGTTGGTTCTCTCAGAGACTTTCTGTTGCACATATTCTCTAGAACATCTCTTAGATAAAGGGATTGCTGGAATAATGAAAACAAACATTTTTTCTTCAATTAAAGACATTAGCAAGATCATTCCAATACCTGTTTCCTGCAGTGTATGACTTAAGAGTATCTATCAGAAGTCAAACATTGCATGGCAATACAAAAAACAGATAGCAGATCATCTTCTCAAACTTCTCACTTTGAAGTTTCTTGAACTTCTGAATTGCCAAAATAATATTAAAATGATAAAAAAAATATTAGGACTTTACAGCGATCATGGACTCGAGCCTGGCTTTGTGGAGGGGTAACATGGGGTCCTCCAGAGTCCTCCACGCTCCTTTAGTCAGGACCGTGGTCAGTTTGGCCGTGGAAGCCTGGTACTTTTTCATGGTGTTCTGTAAATAGAAACTTTTTACAGGGTATGTCGAATTTAAATGTCAAGTTTTATTTTTTGCACATTCCTTGAATTTTCAGATTGTTCCCTCTTCTAATTTTCTTCAATAAAAATTTGCACTAATTTAATTGGAATATATATTTTCACATAGAATTTAGAAATTTCATGAGGAAAATTTTTTCGAATTGTTGATTAACTGGTATCAAATTTGTCTCTCAAACAAAGAACAGCTAACTTATATGATGTGTAAAAGTTTACGTACATGTTGCAGTGCCTTGCGGTCATACTTGAGTTCCCCTATCCCTGCATCACATTCTCTGGTCCAGTAATACAGCATTCCTATTCTGCAAACTTGTGCTGGGTACTACATAGAGAGAAATAAAAATTGTGGTCAACTAAATTATAACTCGATCATAATATACCGGTAGTCTTTTCAAGGAATGCATATAAGTCCTTCCCTCAACATTTCTAATAAATTAAGCAAAGATTGAGAATCCATTAATGAAAGTGAGTTACCTGACTTAAAGCTCACAAGACAGCTAAGTTTATAACAGACACATTGCCATATATTTATGATTCAAAACAGTATGTTTTCTATAAAACTTTTATGAAATTCATAAGTTATCTTGTGATTTTTTCCCCATCTAAACAGGGGATTTTTTCAAAATTCAAAATGCCCCCTAGCTGCCCTGACCTTATATGCCCATTCATCCATCATGACCTCATTATTCAATGTTGTATGATGCCCTTGTGCTGACCTTAGATGCCCATTAATCCATAATGACCCCATTATTACAGTCCTGTATGATTCCCCCTATACTGACCTTGGATGCCCATTTGTCCATCAAGACTCCATTACTACAGTCCTGTATGATGCCCCCTGTACTGACCTTAGATGCCCATTTGTCCATCATGACCCCATTATTACAGTCCTGCATAATGCCCCCTGTACTGACCTTAGATGCCCATTTGTCCATCATGACCCCATTATTACAGTGTTGTATGATGCCCCTGTGCTGACCTTAGATGCCCATTAATCCATCATGACCCCGTTATTACAGTCCTGCATAATGCCCCCTGTACTGACCTTAGATGCCCATTTGTCCATCATGACCCCATTATTACAATGTTGTATGATGCTCCTGTGCTGACCCTAGATGCCCATTAATCCATCATGACCCTATTATTACAGTCCTGTATTCTAGTATTGCCCCCTGTACTGACCTTGGATGCCCATTCGTCCATCATGACCCCATTATTCAATGTTGTATGATGCCCCCTGTACTGACCTTAGATGCCCATTTGTCCATCATGACCCCATTATTACAGTGTTGTATGATGCCATTGTGCTGACCTTAGATGCCCATTGGTCCATCATGACCCCATTATTACAGTCCTGTATACTAGTAAATTGCCCCCTGTACTGACCTTGGATGCCCATTCGTCCATCATGACCCCGTTATTACAGTCCTGTATGATGCTGATGTTCAGTTCCCGCAGTGTCTTGGCCACGGAATCTCTCAGTCTCTGTAACCACACCTCCACTCCATCATTCAGGCAAACCTGACCAAAACAGGCAGAGAAATATTATAGTAAAAATGAAATGTCAATTGGCTTTGATCTTGAATTGTCAATGATCTTGAAGAGCACACTAAATCTAAATGATGCTCAATGTTCATTGGACTAATTCTTTCCCTGCATTTCTTGGTATGTATTATTTTTCACTTTTTTCTCACAATGTTTCAATGAAGCAACAAACAATTCATAGCATACGTAGTAATAACATTTTCAAAATATACTCTCCTTCATACTTGACAAAAAAACTTTACAAAATTTGAAGTCCATGGACTGCTACATGTAATCTTCACAAACAAAACTAGATATCATTGAGATGGTGACCATCTCAAAGGGCCCCGCTTTCAACAATGAACATGAAAATGTAAGGTTAAACAATATGAGCTGCATGTTTGACATCAGAAAATTTTACTGAAAATTTGCAATCAACTAATTTAATGACAGAAAGATAAATTATTTATAAACTAAACTTTATAAACTACGGACAAGGATTTTTCACACAGGTCTGCTATGACCTTGACCTTTGACCTAGAAACATGGTTCAAGGTCATTGCACACCAGTTACCCAAGAGCACTCTATGGGTGAAGTATGAGTCAGATTGGGCCAAGGAGAGAAAAGATATGCTCCGGACAAAGATTTTTCACACAGGTCTGCTATGACCTTGACGTTTGACCTAGAAACATGGTTCAAAGACATTGCATAGCGGTTACCCAAGGGCACTCTGTGGGTGAAGTATGAGCCAGATTGGGCCAAGGAGAGAAAAGATATGCTCTGGACAAGGATTTTCCACACAGGTCTGCTATGACTTTGATCTTTGACCTAGAAACATGGTTCAAGGTCACTGCACACCAGTTACCCAAGAGCACTCTATGGGTGAAGTATGAGTCAGATTGGGCCAAGGAGAGAAAAGATATGCTCCGGACAAGGAATATTCACACATGTCTGCCATGACCTTGACCTTTGACCTAGAAACATGGTTCAAGGTCACTGCACACCGGTTACCCAAGGGCACTCTGTGGGTGAAGTATGAGCCAGATTGGGCCAAAGGGAGAGAAGACTGAAGGACGGACAGCCGGCCGGACGGTCGGACGGACAGACTGATCACTATAGGGCGCCCGCTGAGCGGGGCCCTAATAATTGAAGAAACACTCTGATTTGTGATATTGGTCCACAAAATTGACATTTTTGACTATGCACTTTTCTGTACAATGTCAGTGTGCGAAACTAACTTCAAAGTCCTATAGACTTTCGGTCCATAGACATTTCATTTTCTATAGACCGCAGCAACTTCCTATGGACCAAAATTTAGAATACTATATTCCTATTCGAATTATTTCTGCATACATCGTGGAACAAACTATTATAACTAAGGGGTGAACGGAATACATCAGTGTAATACAGACGTTTTATTTAAAACTGGTCCTCCTTTTTGTGGTTTGATTATTAGAGACAAGCAGGGAACCAGTTTCTTACTCAGAATTCCTGTAGACAAGTCGGTCTATTAATATTTCGATCGGTATAGACCAACTAGATTTTCTACAGACATTGTCTACCGGTCCACCGTTAATTTCGCACACTGCAATGTGATTATATATCAAAATTAAATATTTAATTAGTCAGATCTAATAAATCTAAATAATTTCAATGTTCCAAGAATTACATAAAAAAAAAAAAAAAATTTTAAATTTGTAAAAACACCACTGAAACGAAATCTAACAAATTTAACATATCATATCAAGCAATTTAGATTTTGGAATCCACAACATTCTGATTAGATTAAGTTTTACAGTACTAGATTTTGTTTGAATTCATATGTCATGTATCAGCCTGAGTGACAGCTTATCAGGACAAAAGCTGAAGTAGGGTATACAGTATGTAAATATTTTGTTAATACTGATACACATGATAGTATTTTATCTACAATACAGATTTTGTTTATGTCATCAAAAGTATTACTCCCCTATAATCCAAAGTCTGTTTGACAGGCACCTATACAGGCCATCTACAGATACTGTAAGTATTCAAATACTATACTATTCCTTTAACAAATTCATTTTATTCTACATATACCTGTATACCGTAACAATGAATTTATATTATATAATATACTAAGCTATTCAATATTTTTATTGTAGAATACAAATGTTTCCCAATACAATCAAATCATGCAAACTTTCATAGGATTATTCATTCAAGTTTAATTCTAAAGAACTTGCAGTATAAATTTTAAGCAATTTAAACGGTAGGTTCCTTTTTTATACAAAATTGTCAAATCGGAGATAACTTGTATATATGCCAGTAGATCTTCAACAATAATATTAAACTACTCTTGAAACAAATCGGGGCCACTTTTGCAATGTAAAGTACAATCATGTATAAACTAGGACAATCTGGAAATTCTAATACATGTTGATTACAAATTATAGTATTCATTGCCTATGGGTATAAAAACAAGTATAGATAAAAAAAATGAATGAGTGTGCATGGTAACCATAATAAAAAAATTACAGTAAAACCTCGTTTAGTACGAACACGGATATAGCGAATTCACAGATATAGCGAAGTTACTCTGGGTTCCCGGCAAAATTCTTATCAATTCTTTGTAAAATTTTATGGTTATAACGAGCTCTGCTACAGCGAATTTACGGATTTGTGTCCTGTAAAGGTTAAAATTAATAAGATTTACATCTTTTATAACGAATTTTCAAAAAATCTCAAAAGTAGACAGTATTTCCCATAAGAACCGGCTACCGACTAAATTGACCGCTTCAATTGACAAAAAAGCCGCTTTGAAATAAAAATTTGTTTTGAGGGACACAGAAAATTTGTTCATAAACCTCAGCCCCTAGCCTGTTACAACATATCTCTAACCCTTTAGTTTGAAATAAAGGGAAAACACTGAGTAGATATATTGAACTTACTTTATTTCTAGTAAGTATTTTCAAATTAAATTTAATTTGTAATGGAAAACCTCAGTAAGTCTCGGTATGTTGAGTAATAATTGTTTCCCTACCATATTGGGTTGTAATACTTGGAGGAAAACGTGTATATTGCAAATTCCCAATATATACGCTTATATGAAATCTTTATACGTATACAACGAATTAGGGATATAGCAAATTAAATTCACAGGTCCCCAGGACCTCACTATAATCGAGTTTTACTGTATTTCTTCCATGGTGTGAAGAACATGTTGTTACTGTATTTTCAATTTAAACACAGAGGGTTAAAGTCTTGTGAAAAACTTCAGTGCCCATTAGTTGTGTCCTAATCAGTACATAGCAACTTCATAATTTTCAGATGGCATTATTTAAAATGGATATTCCTCAAAGAGCCCAGCACTTTTTAGAGTGTGGCATTGAGGAATGTGAAAGAAATTGTGAGTTCTATTGCAACCTTTGCCATCAAAGATTGTGCAAACAATGCAGTGAAGAACATCTGAAAAGTCCAGAAAACAAGAACCATGAGGTGGTCCTTTACCAGCAACGTAAACGACAACTTCCTGTGGAGAAATGCAAGATCCACCCCACTAAAGATGTGGACATGCTCTGTGAAGAATGCCAAGTTCCAGTATGTTCCAAATGTGCCACACAGTCAAAGCATCGGGGGCATATATTTACTGATCTAGAGACTATTTATGCAGAAAAATATGCAGTCTTTCAAAAAGAAATTTTCAAAATCCATGAGTATTTTCTCCCCACATCACAAGATTTACAGAAAGAAATAAAACGAGATGCAGTTGAAATCAAACACATCATGGACAACATCAGAACATCCATGAAGACTGAAGGTGAGACCCTGAAAAGTCTGGTAGACACAGTCATATCTGAGAACATGAAGCAGTTAGACCAGATAGAGCATTCACTGTTAGAAGATCTAAACACCCAAGACAAGACATTGGATGATTACATCACTTATCTTAATAACCTTGTCAAAGAGCTCCACCGATGCCTGTCCTCTACAGAAACCCAGAAATTAATGTCTGAGAAGAAACCAAAGATCCGATCCATACCAGAGACAACAAAACCAGTCACACCCGGATTTACCGCTGGTCAATACAGCAAAAGTGATGTCTCCAAGTTACTTGGTAAAATACAGGTCCCCAACACTAAAGCTGAGAAGAGAGAAATAAAGCCCATTGACAGTGTCTACAATACAGCAATGAAACCTACACATAAACAGACGAAAGAAGACAGAAACAAATCTGACAAGAAACAAACATTGTCTCTATCTGCCTCTGTCACCAGGGTCAGGGAGTTCAATGTACCAGGTGTTAATGATGTATTCCATGTATCACTAGATCAATCAGACAGACTCTGGATCAGTGACTATGATGGTAATCTTGTCCAAACAGATCTACAGGGGAATGTGATACAGAAGATAAAAACCAGTGGTAGAATGGAAGGTTACCACACAGTCACACAGGGCAGGGATCTGATCTTTACAAACAAATACAAAAAAGTCATCAATAGGATAACACAGGATAATAAAATCACTGAATTCATTAAAACTGGAGACTGGACACCACTCAGCATACACTCCTCCCACATCAACGGGGACTTACTGGTGGGGATGAAGAAGATTGGAGAGGCTAAAGTCACCAGGTACAACAAGACAGGGAAAGAACTACAGAACATACAGAGGGATAACAAAGGACAGGAACTGTATATAGCACCACACTACATCACAGAAAACATCAATGGAGATATCTGTACATCAGACCATGGTAGGGCAGTAGTGGTGGTGAATAAATCAGGACAACACAGGTTCTCCTACACAGGTCAGAAGTCAGGGTTCTGTCCCTTTGGAATCTGTACTGATGTCCTTGGTCACATCCTGGTGTGTGATCATTACAGTGACACTGTTCACCTCCTTGATCAGGACGGTCAGTTCTTGTCTCTATTACTCACACACCAACAAGCGGTATACGGTCCTCGTAGTGTGTGTGTGGATGATGAGGACAATCTCTATGTGGGACAAGATGAAACCAACACACTGACAGTGTACAAGTATCTACAGTGATTCTATTCTGACATAGAACACATCATGTGAAGTATATACCACCAGACATAAAATGTTGATCTAATTACCTGTCCTACATCTACCTTTATCGATGTAATTGTTTGGAATTGTTATTATAATATTCATAAATACTGATTCAGAAGTGTATAAAGTATAGATAAAATACTTAATAAATGGATTTTTCAAATGTACATATTTGAGGGTAACATTGAAAATTTTCACGGTCTCCCCATAAAAACTATGTCAAGCAATGTTAACCAGGGGATTGACAAATAGATTTTAAAGGCACTTGCCCAAGGGCAAGTACATGGTCAAAATTCACTTGCCCGACCTGAATTTTTGCCTGCCCTACCATTAACTTATACTGTATTTATAAATATATATAAAAAATACTGAGTAGAATATTAGCATACATTTTGATTTTATATTTGATAATTGATTAAGTCACACTTGCCCACGGGCAAGTGGTTGATAAAATTTCACTTGCCCAACCCTAAAATTCACTATCCCCAGGCGTCGGGCAATGGGATTTGTCATCCTCTGGTTAACTGTTGCTACACTGGAGAGCATGCAGCTTCATCATCAGTGGGCAAGTGATTTTAACAAATATTTCTTGACGAATGAGATTCAACTTATTTATATTAAATGAAAGTTTACTATTATTCTGAAACATTGATATACACTGATATAACTTCTATTACGGTTGTATTATTGAGCGGCAAATTTGAACTCATAAACGGCAGCACAATTTTACATCCACAGTTGTTAAATTATTTTAAAATTAAATTACAAGGAATGACTCTAATTCTTTCCAAAATTCAAGTACAACCTGGTTTGGCTTCCCGGATTAAAAAGCGTAAAGTGACTCAAACCAGGTTACAGTACCCGAATCGTTATTCTTTACAGGATACACAATAC